GCAACCCGTTTGCTATCGGACTTTCCCTAGTGTCTTTTGACTCCGCTTCTGTGGCGGAGCAAAATGGGGTTGCCCACGGGTGTGGGGCGCTTCACAGATGTTCGTGTCTGATCACGCCCTTTAAATCCACCCGGCATTCACGCCTATGGCATGGCGTTCACGCCTATGGCATTGTGCGTGTGACCGCGACCCTAGAATCTTTAGCCTTTCCTCATCCTTTAATCACTTGGCTGACCTCTTCCATAACCTTTTCTAGCTCTGCAGTATCCTTTTTGAGATACGGTGTGACCAGAACTGCGCACAGCACTCCAAATGAGGCCTCGCCATCGATCTATACAGATCTATACAAGGGCATTACAGTACTGGCTGTTTTATTTTCAATTTCTTTTTCTAATAACCCCCAGCCTGGAGTTTGCCTCTGCCACTGCCACTACAGTAGCTTGATTTATACTCGGTATAGGATACACTGCTACTGAGACCAAGGTATAGGAAGAAGAATTACAGATATAACAACTGAGGAATTCTTATACGTTTAATTCTTTCTTGCTGTCTTTTCGTCTTAGTGTCTGTCTTTCCTATATGTAGGGTTACCAGTCTCCAGGTTGTACCTGGAGATCTCCTGCTGTTACAATTGATCTCCAGACGACCAAGATCAGTTCCCCTGGAGAAAATGGCTGCTTTGGAAGTTGGTCTCTGTGGCATTATACCCTGCTTAAAGCCCCTGCCTTCCCCAAATCCCACCCTCCCCACGCTCCAGCAACACAATTCCAAGGTATTTCCAAATCCAGTGCTGGAAACCTAATGGTAATCCTTATGCTGATTCTCACTCCTACTGAATTCGAATAGCCGGTTTCCTTTCCCCAGCCCCTCTCTGGTTCTAAGCTGAAGGCCATTGAAAGTCTTTATTTATTCATTTATTAGTTTGATTTATATCCCGCCCTCCCAGAGGCTCAGGGCGGCTCACATACGGCAAAGCCGAGTGCAAAATACAATACAGTATATAATAAATAAAACATTTAAAATCACAATAAAACCTTCCAATAATACGGTGCTATACCTATATTGATCATCCAAGATGGGGACAACCCCCCCAGATCATCCAAGATGGGGACAACCCCTTTAAATAATCTAACTGACAAATATAGAATCTGACCAGTAGAAGGGGTACATTTTGAATCCTTCTACCCTGTATAAATACGAGACTCACTGAAAACCTCAGAGAGAAAACCACTTCAGCTTGTCCCAGAAGCCTCCATGATTTGTAGCTTGTAATTTCACTTTCCTCACAGAAGCAGAATCACCTAACATTTATTTCCGATCTTTACAGTTTCCTAATATTAAACATTACCTTCTTACCCATAACTATTTTTTGGGTTTTGCTGTCAAGTCACAGCTGACTTAACGTGACCCCACGGGGCTTTCAAAGCAAGAGATGTTCAGAGATGGTTTGCCATGGCCTGCCTCTGTGTCATGACCCTGGTATTCCTTGGTGGTCACCAGTGTTTCCTCTAAGCTGAGTTAGTGTGAGCTAGCTCACAGTCTTTTAGCCTCCGGCTCACACATTTTTGCCTTAGCTCAGGATGGATGGCTCCAGAGCAAACTTAATTTATGCAATAGCTAAATCGCTCGCTCCAACTTTAATGCCAGTCGCTCACAAAGTAGAATCTTTGCTCACAAGACTCCACGGCTTAGAGGGAGCATTGGTGGTCACCCTTCCAAATACTAGCCAGGGTCAATTCTGCTTAGCTTCCAAGATCTGACGAGACTGCACTAGCCTGGGCTATCCAGGTCAGGGCCATTCTATATATGTGATAATGTTCTACACAAAATTTTGGCTCTTTCTCCAAAGGATGCAATAAACTTATTTGTTACTTATTTGTATAGTTACTAGGAAGATACAAACAGATGTGAGTGGAAGGGCAGTTGCCTGGTGGCAAAGCATACGCTTTGCGTTCAGGAGATTCCCCCACCCCCACCGTGTCCAAAAGAGACTTTGGGGAGCCACTTCCAGTCAGAGCAGACAGTACAGAGCTAGCAATGAAACTGTGCTAAACAGGGCTTTTGGGGTGCAGGAACGCACTGGAACGGAGATCCGGCTGGCTCCCAAGTTGGCCACGCCCAGCAGGAACTCATTAGCATAACAGGCCACACCCAACAGCAGAAACTCATTTGGATTGGCTACATTAGGGGTGTGTGGCCTAACATGCAAAGGAGTCCCTGCTACAAAAAAAAGGCCCTGGGTTTTAACAACAAACAAGGTAAACAGAATAAGAAGCAAAAGGTGGGTGTGGCTGGATGACCACAGTTCTGGTAACATGGGGGTGTGGCCTAATGTGCTAATGAGTGGTGCTGTCAGGGTGTGGCCTAATATGCTAATGCGTTTTGCTGTTGGGTGTGGCCTATTATGCTAATGAGTTCCTGCTGGGCTTTTTCTACAAAAAGAGCCCTGCAAACAGATGTGAGTGCTAAAGAATTCCAACAAAATTTTAAAAAAGGATTTTCCAGTAAAATCGTTGCCCCTAAAACTAGAGCAGCTGCTTAAAGTAGCACACGTTTTGTTTTGCTCTAGATCTGTACCAATTAAGGGATACAATTTTGTGAATATTCAGCACTAAACTCCCCGTTATTGTAATGGTAAAGAGAATATAGCCGTTGAATGGCTGGAAATTAAATGATCAGCAGGAGGCCTTATAACGTTCCATAAGACCCTCGCAACTGTTTCCACATCCAATTGTGTGAAGTTTCTTTGGTCATTTTTAGGGACCGCTTTGCTGTTGTGACTTTTCAATTATCATTTTACACTTGTACATAAAAACACACACATTGGGTACCACTGCAGTACGATTATCAGCACTGATTCTTTCCTGCATAAAGTGTTCTAAGTTAGGGGTGTGAATACGCAGCATGGGGCAGAATTGCATCTGCCAAAGGGGAGATTGGCAGCAGGGTGCTTTTCAATATCACATTTGCTCTGTGGTAAAAAAGCCTTCTATAAAGGTACAACAGTAATAACTGGTGTAAACCAGGCAATGAAGAACACATTAGAAAGTCCTAACGATTGCAGTGGAAAACGAGCATGTGTTGAAACTCTCTACCATTGGTATTAGTGGAGTTAACAGTTATGACGCCCCTTTCCCACCCACACAGATTGCCTTCCACTACCACCCCCACAACCCCCCCCCTCTCTCTCTCTGATTCAGGGTTACAAGTAGGTCAGGCCATCACATGTTACTACCCTTCTCCTCTCTTTTTAAAACCTTTAGCGAGCTATGAACTTTTCACCTCTCAGGTCCTCTCACTCACAGAAACATCAGAACAAAGTTTGAGTCCAGTGGCACCTTTAAGACCAACCAAGCGGACTGAAGATGCTTTTGAACTGTTTCCCTATTTCAGAATTTGGGATCCTTTGTTACAAACGCACTATTTTCAGCCAGCTCTAAGCAGCTCTTCTCCACAGTTTCCATCGGTCAGGCATCCTCTTTTCCCTCTCAACTCCCCAACTGCCAACTCCTACGGTAACTGCTGTTTTTCAACTGTCTCTCCCTAACATTCCGTCAGCTCTCATTGGTTGCTCTTAGTGAGAGGTGGAACCTACCCTGTCCCTCACACTAACTTTGGCTCCATTGTGTCCAATAAAATATTGTATTTTTTTAGTATTTATATAACATGTCCAACATGAGGTAAAGTTCTTAACGGTGTTATCTCAATAGTATTTACAAGAGCCCTGTTAGATCAGCTAGTGTTTTCTCTGCATTACAGGTAGAGGCAAGACACAACAGCTTGTCTCACCATGTTTGTGGCTAAGTTCAGATTTGAGCCATGGTGTTCTTGAAACCATTTATTATGACTGGACCTAAATTCTTTGATTGGAACCCCAAATGCACACAGTGACTAAGGAAATCTATGTGTCTGAGGAGACTTTCATGCATGTATTCTATCACTTCATCAGACCAGGAACTATGGCAAAAGCTAGACATGTGTCCGAATTCACATCAAGCTTGAGGACTCTATGTATGATGCAATATTTTCTGTGGAATTTGCATTTGAATGCATATCGGTAGCTACAGTGTTGCACAACTGATCTATATTAAGGATAACTAGAAACTAGTCCTGGCTATGGATATTACCAGTAACAGCGTTCCGTGCGCCTTGGTGTTTAGTCATGCCGGCCACATGACCACGGGAATGTCTTCGGACAGCGCTGCCTCTTCAGCTTTGAAACGGACATGAGCACCACAACCCTAGAGTCGGACTCGACTGGCTTTCGAGCAAGGGAATCTTTACCTTTACCTATGGATATTACCAATTAAATTTATTTCTCTATAGTTTTACAATCCTACCCCACCCACCAGCCCAAATGTTCAGGGATACTTACAGTGAAGGCCGTAAACTTGGAGGGATATCATATTTATCTGTTTGTAAAACTTACTATACAGCTTTAAATTAGGGTTGCTAACTCTGGGATAGGAAATTCCTGGAGACGTATGGGTGGAGGCTGAGAGGAGGCAGAGTTTGGGGAGGGGGGGAGCTTAGCAGGAATAACAGGAATGTGATGCCGTACATTGAACCCTCCAAAGCTGCCATTTTCATCATGGAAACTGTCATCTGGAGATCAGTTGTAATTCTAGGAGAACTCCAGGCCCCACCTGGAGGCTGGCAACCAGTGTTCCCTCTAAGCTGAGTCAATGTGAGCTAGCTCACAGTTTTTTAGCCTCCGGCTCACAGATTTTTGTCTTAGCTCAGGAAGGATGGCTCCAGAGCAAACTAATTTATGCAGTAGCCAAAGTGCTCGCTCACAACTTTAATGCCAGTAGCTCACAAAGTAGAATTTTTGCACACAAGACTCCACAGCTTAGAGGGACCATTGCTGGCAACCCTACTTTAAGTAGGGAAAAAAACTGTTTTATTTCAGGGGACCTGGCTGGTATTGCACAAGACATTCACTAAAACTGGGGCGGTACAATTCTGTAAAAGTCTTCTAATTCTCTCTTCCTCTTTAGCCCTTGAGCTTCGAGACCAAGAAAAGCTACACTTTAAAAGTAGAGGGTGCCAATCCCCACTTGGAAATGCGCTTCCTCAACCTAGGCCCGTTCCGTGACACTGCGACTGTGCACATCAGCGTGGAGGACGTGGACGAGCCACCCGTGTTTGAGCCTAGCTTTTATTTTGTGGAGGTACCTGAAGATGTGGACATTGGGACCACCATACAAATGATTTATGCCAAGGACCCTGATGTGACCAACAACTCAATCAGGTTTTCTTCTTCCACCACTCTTAATATCCACTGTGTTAAGTCTTAGGGCTGTGATGGTTACTTTGGGAGGCAAGGAATGCAGGTTCAAGGTGCCAAACCAAAGAACTGCTTGGATGACATTAAGTTGGGTATACTTTTGTTACTCTAGGCCAGTTCATACAGCCAGAATCTCCACTCATTTGTAGCGGAGGGAAGACTTAATAAGTAAATCCAGGGTTAACTAGGGTTGCCACTAGAGATGTAAAATTTCCAGAAATTTTGAAGCTCGGGAAAATACCCGTTTTCCCCCCGTTTTTTTCCGGGGGAAACGGAAATTTTCGGAAAAATTGAAAAAATGCTACATTAGCATTTCTTTTGTCTTTTCTTGATTGAAAGTCATTCTGTTACTTTAGGAACATAAAATATGACTATGGACATTTTTACTTGGCATGAAATTATCACAACTAGCATATTAAAAATATAGTGTATCCAAACAATTATCACAAACAGAATACCCACCCACATGCAAAAACAAAACTGAAACTTTTTTATTTTCTTCTGACAATCACACCTCCTAAAGGAAGAAATGCATCTTATTCTTGCATTGGAGAGTTCAGTTTGTAACCTAGGACTTGCTTGTCCTCAGTGCACAGAAATCAGATTCATCATGTTAAAATGAAACGTTCCATAATCAATTTTTTTTTCTTTTCTTTTTTATTTTTCCAATTTTTCGGGAAAAAACAAAAAGACTTCAGGGAAAAAACGGGGGGGAAATGTTTTTTCCCCGAATTTTCCCGTTTTTTTTCCGGGCCTTCACATCTCTAGTTGTCACCCTTCAGGTGGTACCTGGAGATCTCCTATTATTGCAGTTAATCTCCAGATTACCAAGATCAGCAAATGGCTGCTTTGGAGAGTGGACTCTATGGGACTGTCCCCTGCTGAGACCCCTCCCCTCCCCAAATCCTGCCCTCCCCAGGATCCACCCCCCAAAAAACTCCAGGTATTTCCCAACCCAGAGCTGGCAACCCTGGAGTTAACCCACACACTGAGTCAGCTGAGACACATGAAACCTCTGTCACTGCCGAGGCTGTGCCTCACTTTTCAGATAGCACACAAAGAAAGTAAATCCGTTCATTTATTTTATCTCTCCCTTATAATAAAGCAGTAGTGGGGACCAACGTTCTAAAATGCCCGCCTTTAGTGTTTGGCCGGAAGAACTGCCACTCAGAAGACACTGGTTGGGTTGACTGGCTGCTTTGTGCAGTCCTGCCCAGCGTTTCAAGGTCTTTTGCATATGGAAGCTGATTGGACTTCACTGCATTCCACACCTCAAACTCACCCCCCTCCCCGCAAGGCAGTTGGAATGTCAGTTGCATATGGAACCTTCAAGGTCTTTTGCATATGGAAGCTGATTGGACTTCACTCCATTCCACACCTCATACTCCCCCCCAGACACTGGCTGGGTTCATTGGCTGCTTTGTGCAGTCCCGGCCAGCGTTCCAAGGTCATTTCCATATGGAAGCTGATTGGACTACACTCCATTCCACACCTCAAACTCCCCCCCCCAAGGCAGTTGGAATTTTCAGTTTGGAGAGGAGAATGATGTCAGCTGCTTTGGTTACCACTGCAGGGAAAGACTGCCCTTTCCCTAGGCAGAGGCTGGGGTGTGTGTGTAAAACTTAAGACAGACAGGCAGATAAAGGTTGGCTGATGGTTGGCTGATGGTTGCCAACTCCAGGTTCGAACTCCAGGACATAGGGTTGCCAACTCCAGGTTGGAAACTTCCAGGATATTTTAGGGATGAAGCCTGCTGAGGGTGGGATTTGAGGAGGAGGAGGAAGAGGGGGACCTCAGACAGATACAATGCCATGCTGCCCACACTCCAGACAAGCTGTTGCCAGTCTCCAGGTGACAGCTGGAGAGATCTTAAAGCTTTGGTGCTACTTCAAAGTTCCCCAGGAGCCCAAAACAGAGTAGTGTTTTGGAAAATCTTGAGGAATTGTTTGGTGCATTTACGATGGGGCTCCTGGGGAACTATTGTTGCCAATCTTGGCCCAGCAGCCATCAAACCATTCTCTTCAACCCCCTGCTGTGCAGCTGACTTTCCCCTAGGGTTGCCAATCTCCAGGTGGGACCTGGAGATCTCCCACTGTTACTATTGATCTCCAGATGTTCCAGCGTGCATCACCTTACACTTACCCACACTGAAATTCATCTGCCATACTGTTGCCCGCCTATCCAATTTGGAGAGCTCTTCCTGGAGCTCTTCACAGACATCCTTGTCTTTCACCATCTCAAATAATTTTTTGTCATCTGCAGACCTGGCCACTACACTTTTGTTGTTCAGTCGCACAGTCGAGTCTGACTCTTCGCGACCCCATGGACAAGATCTCGCCAGGCCCTCCTGTTTTCCGCCATCCTCTGAAGTTGGCTCAATTTCATGTTCGTTGCATCGATGACACTGTCTAACCATCTCATCCTTTGCCATCCCCGTCTTCCTTGACCTTCAATCTTTCCCAGCATCAGGGTCTTCTCCAGTGAGTGCTCCCTTCTCATTGGGTGGCCAAAGTATTTGAGCTTCAGTTTCATTATCTGGCCTTCCAGGGAACAGTCAGGGTTGATTTCTTTTAGGATTGACTGATTTGATCTTCTTGCAGTCCAAGGGACTCTCAAGAGTCTTCTCCAGCACCATAGTTCAAAAGAATCTATTCTTCGGTGCTCGGCCTTCCTTATAGTCCAACTCTCGCAGCCATACATGACTACTGGGAATACCATTGCTTTGACCATGCAGACTTTTGTTGGCAGGGTGATGTCTCTACTTTTTATCAAATTAAATAGTATTGGCCCCAATATGATCCTTGTGGGACCCCACTGCTCACTTCCCTCCATTGTGAGAACTGTCCATTTATTCCTACTTGTTGCTTCCTGTCACTTAACCAATTTTGATTCTGTACGAGAGCTCGTTCTCTTATCCCATGATTAATTCTCCCTCTAAGCTGTGGAGTCTTGTGAGCACACATCCTACTTTGTGAGCTGCTAGCATTAGAGTTGAGTGAGTGATTTGGCTACTGCATACATTAGTTTGCTCTGGAGCCATCCTTCCTGAGCTAAGACCAAAAGGTATGAGCCGGAGGCTAAAAAAAATGTGAGCTAGCTCACACTAACTCAGCTTAGAGGGAACACTGCCCATGACCTCTTTGGTGAGGCACCTCATCAAAAGCCTTTTGAAAGGATGTCTGGAGGTCTCCAAAACAGCTGAGAAATAAATTCATATTAATTTATATGTGAAAAAAATCCATGTGGAAAAGCTTTACATCAGAAAACAAACGCAGCATCTCCTCCTCTTCTTCATATTGGTCCCCTTTCCCCATAGTTAGATTCAAGTTCCATATCACCTTAGAGCTCAGCGGGTTTTTCAGAGTATGATCTTTGGAGAGTCAAAGTTCCCTTTGTCAGAGCTTTGACTATCAAAAACGTAATACTTCAAAAATATTATTGATCTCTTGGATGCTACCAGACTCGGGCTTCAGTCACAGACACTAAATAATCCACTTTCGATCCACTTTCTTTTCTTTTTTTTATGCCCCCCGAAGGGAATTTTTATTGCTTTTTCTATAAACTACAAACTACAATGAAAAAATAGGGAGGGAACATCTACATCTAAGGAGAAAGGAAAGAAAACCACTAATAACTAAGACCCCAAGTATAGGAGATCATTACATCAACTAATATAAGTGTTAGTCTAAAATGCTTACATTACATTGAACATGGTCGATTAAGCTAAATTATTTATCTTTTTGACCATTTTTTAACTGTTTAAAGACAACCCCAAGAGCATCATTTATATCACATGCTTTAAGGCACCATTCAGAGTCCTTCAGCGTTCACCTTGCTTTATCTTTTCTAATCCTCAATTGGTATTCTCGTTTAGGGGCAGCCGCCCCCTTTTCTGAAGCAGAATCCTCGTCAGAAGGCACAGAGTCCAGTTCACCGCTAGATTTGCTGTCATCTTCTTCTTTGGCATCCTCAGCTGGTTCTCCCAGTTGCAGTCTCAGGAACTCACACACTTTGTAAACAGAGTCAATTTTTTTCTTTTTTGTCCTGCAGTTTTAAAATGACACCTTCAGGGGTTAACCATCTGTAGGAAATGCTGTTTGTAATTAAAAAAAAAAAAGGATTAAGTCTTTATACTTCTTTCTCTTCTTCCTTATTTCAAATGGGATGTCTTTTAAAATCCTGATGGTGTTGCCTCCAATTTTCAACTTCAGGGACCCCTTGGAACCGGAGGACCAGGTTAGCTTTCTCCATTTGCAGTTGTAAAAGTTGATATTCATCTGAAGCTTGCTTCCTTTCCAGCATTTGCACCTTTTTCTTGACTTTTTAAGATTTTTATATTTATTTATTTAATTTTATTTATACCCCGCCCTCCCCGCATGCGGGCTCAGGGCGGCTACAACCATATGGCACAAAGTGCAATAAAATACAATAAAACAGTTTAAAACAATTTATACGTGGGCCACGCCCAAGGATCCCGCGTGACTAAAACCCTCTCTCCATATTGCACATACCCTTTTCATTCCAGGGGAGGTTACTGTGGCCCCCTGATGTTATTTGCCACTTGACCTCCGGCGGTCCTGTAAAACGGTCCCCATTGGTGGTGGTGGTGGTAGTGGCGGCGGCTCCTATTCGAAAGCCTGGCGGAAGAGCTCCGTCTTTCAGGCCATGCGGAACTGCAACAAGTCCCGCAGGGCCCTGATCTCCTCCGGGAGCTCATTCCACCAGATAGGAGCCGCCACCAAAAAGGACCTGGCCCTAGTGGCCGCAAGCCTGGCCTCTATTTCCTTTACTTTCTCAGCTGTTTGCTCCATCTTTTTTGTAGTTTCAGACGGAGCTGCTGAATGGTTTAGAGTTGTCAGCTGTTGATTGATGTTAGTCATCTGATCCAGTAGAGGGTGCAGAGAGTCCGCCAAAAGTTTAGAGAACTCAGTGGTCTCTTCCGGTCGTGGGCTCATGCTCCCCGG